GCGCCGAACGGCGCGGCGGCGCCCGCCGCGGGGCCGGTCGTCGGGGTCGCCGCGGGTCCCTGGCGCGCGCCTCGGCGCGTGCCGGGGCGCGCCTCGCGGTCGGCGCGGGCGGCGAGGCGGTGGCGCTGCCTTTTCATTTCCGCCAGCTGCTGCAGCCGCCAGGGGGTCAGCCGCGGCTGCGGCAGTGTTCAAGGAAAAGAGGTGGGGAAGGCGTGAGGTGGAGCTGGCGGCTAGGGACGGCCTGAACGCTCCAGCCACCCGAACGAAGCGGCGACATGGTACAGACGTCACCGCGTGCCCCGAAACTGTCCCCCCAACGCCGACCCGGCCTGATGCCGACGGATCCTCCGACCTCGCCCGCGCCCCCAACGCTTGCAGACACTCCGCGGCCCCTGACCGCCCACCTTCCCGGCCTTCGCGCCGTCCCCAATCTTTGGATCAAAGCCCGGGAACGCTTTCGCAAACTCCTCGTCAGTCAGGGCCACCACCAAGTCCAAGAAGCTGCTCGGCAGCTGCTGCTGCTGCTGCTGCTCCCTCGCCTGCTGCGGCCCCTCCAGCCGCCCTGCCAGCGGCTGCGCCTGCCCCTCCGACGGCCGCCCCTGCCCCTGCTGCTGCCCGCCCGGAAGCTGCCGCCCGGCTTCCGCCACGAACTGCAGCCGCCGCCAGACGCGCGGCAGGTGCAGCAGCAGCTTCCCGACCGCGGCGGCGCGGCCGCGCCGCAGGGCGCGGGTGAGCGGCCTGCTGCCGGCCATCTGCGCCCGCAACCACCTGCAGCGCCCGTGCACCTCCGCCGCCGACAGCCGCAGCAGCAGCGGGTGCGTGCGCACCAGCGCCGCCTTGAGCCGCGGCCCGAACGCCCACACCGACAGCGCGCGGTAGCTGCCGCGCAGTGACGCGGTCGAGCGCCGCAGCAGCGCGGGCCGCAGCGCCGCGGTGTCGGACGCGTCCAGGACGGTCGCGCCGGCGCCCATCAGCGCGGCGATGCACTGCAGCCGGCCAGGCAGGCCCTTTGGCGCCCGCAGCAGCACCCGCCCCTCGCGCCGCAGCGCGAGCAGCAGCCGCCGCTGGCCGCCGAGGAGGTACCGCAGCCGCCGCGCCCGCGCCGCCACCGCGGCCGCCGACAGCTCGAGCAGCTGCGGCGCGCGGCGCACGAGCCGCGCAGCGGCGGCGCCCGTGCAGCCGAGCGCGGCGCGGAGGGACGCCGCCTTGGCTGCGAGCGTCGCCGGCGACGCGCCGAGCAGCAGCGGGCGCACCGAGACCATCGCCGCCGCGTCGGCGGGGCCGCCGGGCAGGGCGAGCGCGTCGGATATGGATGCGAGGCGCCCGGCCAGCTGCCGCTCATCAAGAATGAGGAGCAGCGGCTGCCGCAGCGCCATCCGCGCGCACCGCGCCGCCGGCGCCCGCAGCGCCGCCGCGGCCGCCGACACCCGCGCCGCCGCCGCGGCTGCCGTTAGCCCGAGCACCGCCGGCTGCGCGCGCGCGGCGGCCGCGACGCCTGGGACAGACTGGCCCAGCGCGCCGGCGAGCGCCTGCAGGCGCTGGCGCAGCTGCCTGCGGTCTGCCTGCAGCAGCGCCGGCCGCTTCGTCACCATGCGCACCAAGCCCACCCTGCTGCCCCCAAACACGGCCCCCAACTCCTCCAGCCGAGCCTGCAGCACGCCTGGCGACAGCCGCGCGAGGGACGGCTGGGCCGACAGCATGGCGGCCGCCTGGTCTGGGGAAACGCCGAGCTGCCGTGAGAGGCGCGCCGCGTGCAGGTTTTGGCGGGAGGCCTGCTGCTGCTGCTGTTCCTGCTGCTGCTGATCTTCCTGCTGCTGCCGCTGTTCCTGCTGCTGTTCCTGATCCTGATCCTTCTGCTGCTGCTGCTGGCCTCGGCCTTCACTGTGCCGCTGGCCTGATGTTGCTGTCGAAGGGGAGCCTGGCCGTGTTTGACCACCGCGCCGCCCGGCGCTCGGCCCTGAGCTGCCGCCGCTACTGCTGCTGCCGCTGCTGCTCGCCTCCGCCCCGCTGGCAGCCCTGGTGCCGCTCGTCCCCGTGCCCCCTCGCTCGTCCCCGCCGCCGCCGCCGCCACCGTCGCCGCTGGCAGCGCCGTGCGCCGTGCCGGATTCGGCGTCCGCCCCTCTGTCTGCAGCCGCACCATCCATGATGTGAGGGCCCAATGAGACGCCGGCGTGCGTGGAGTGGTGTAGCAGAGGCGCATCCTCCAGGAGTGCCGGCTCACCCGCAGCTGCGAATGCAATGCGGAGCGCGCGCGGTTGGTGCAACGCATTCGGTGCATGCGCGCAACATGGGATGGAACAAAGCTGCCAGGCGGCCAGAGGTTTCGAGACAGGCGGGCGGGTCTCAAGGCACGGCGCACGCACAAGCAGGGCGCCGCGGCAAAGCGGGTGGTTTGTCGGCGCCGGCGCCGGACTGGTCGAGCGAACCTGCTGCAGCGACCTCGGCAGTCGTCGCCGGCGCTGCGGCAGCCACCGCTGTCCGGCCGCAGTGTTTGTTGGGGCCCTTCAAGCGCCCTGGACATCACCAGGAGTGGGTATTCAGTTGTGCGTCATGGTGGTGTGAAGCGCAGGGCTGTGGTGGGACAGCAATTGCAGCCTGACGCGTCGCGCAGTGCCCACGCGTCAACAGCACTGCTGATGGCGACGCCTGGTGTGCCCGCACCTTGGAGTGGGGGCATCGCACATTGTCCGCGTGCTAGATGAGTTGGGTGAAACTCCCTCCCTCTCAACAATTGTCGATGCAAAGGTCCCACGCCTGGCCTGGACGCATTCATCACTCTGGGCCCAGACTGCTGGCCGACACTGGCCCAGCAGCCCGTTTGTAACATATTGTGGTCGTGTTCGTTATCCTCCTTGACTGTACGAGTCAGCCATGCTGCCTCAGGACAAGCAAACACCACGTATCGCCGTCCAGCCTTTCGGGGTTAGCGCAGATAAAGACAAAGCTGTTGCAGCAGTCGCCTAACTCACTGCTCAGGCCTCATCTGCAGGATTTCAGCTGCTAGATCGCAGTGACTGCCCTGCTCCCTGATGAGTAAGAAAAGCAAATGCGTTGTTCAGGATCGTGATCACACTTGGATAGCTCAGAACAATCATGTGTTTTTGGAGAATGGGGGGCACTGCCACGTTGGGCTGAGGGACAACTTTCCTACTTGGGTCAGCTGCTACTTGGGTCAGCTGCTATCCGACACCATCTGGTGTGCGTGCAACGCAATCCATGTATGGCTCGTGGCGGTGCTGCTACGCACAAATTTCTATGATGTAGTACTACGCAGGGAGACACACATTAGGTCGCCGACACCCAGTGCTTGCCTGATTTGCAACACACACAACCCCGTTGGCAAGCGCACGCGCACGCCGTGCCATCACACGCACGACGCCCTGCCACGCACATGATGACAACCATCTCGCCGCCAAACACCAGTGCGCGCACCTCTTATCGCCCTCACCAAGCTCCCCACCAACCTCACCGCCCCCTACCTGACACACCTGCATGCTGCGTGGCCGTCGCAGCTTCAGGGATGACCATCCCATGTGGCGCTACGTGGGGGGGTGGCGGGCCGCCACCTGCGGCAAAAGAAGCTACCGTAGACAGCAGACTACTAAAATGTCCTTCAACCTCATCGCTAGAACGCGCTTGTCTAATCCTGAAGCCACAAGGTCAGACCTGAGGCCCCGAACCCGTTGCAGAGCTACATGAAAGCTTGAACAGCAGATTACAGACGGCCACCTGCTCTAAGACGGCGCGTGAGCGCTTGGAAAACAAATGTGTGGTGTTTGTCCGGGCACGGGGCTCAGCCGGACACCGTCACAGCGAAACTTGATGGCGTGCGGCTGCGTGCCCGCAGCTGGCACCGCAGCGCAGCGACGTGCCGGGCCGACCCAAGGCGGCGCGCGGCTGTGTGCAGGCGCACAGCACGTGCGCAACGGGCCCCGAGGTGCCGCGCGATGAAACAAATGAGCGGTCCTTCCGATTGAGCAGGCGCAAGGGCGCCGAAAACCTGCTGCATGCAGTACAAACGGCTGCGGCGGTGCCGAGCACAGCTGGTGGGCCACATGCATGTGAAGGCCCCCTGTCGCGCCACAGGCGCCCCGAAAAACAGGAAGCATCAACAGCCAGAACACAGAGGTCATCCCTCCCGGCTACAGCTCCAAAACTCGGTGGCAGAAAGGAAAGCGCGCGCCAGGCTGTGGAGCCAGCGTTGGCACAAGTCAGCACGCAAGGACTTGCGCAGGACAAGCGCACACGCAACAGGAGCGTTCAAGAAAGAAATGGGTGTTGGCAGATTGCGTCGCCATGCGCAGTCCACCAGAGGGCATTGCAGCTGCCTGTGCAGCCGGCCGGCGCTCACAGATTGCCGAATTTGTGTCAGAGGGACCCCAGAAGCCCCTGCGTGGTTCACAAGAGGGGCTGGACGAGGTTCCGAGGTGTTGGTTCAAGGGCAGGGGCGGTGTTCGCAAGCGCATCCCCGTTCCGGAGGGCAAACGATGATTCGCAGCGCTGAGTGCAAGAGCAATCAGCACGCGCAAGAAAGAGGGATACAAGACGCCGCACTGTGCGCGCTGAGGCACGATCTGCTTGGAGGGGCGCATGTGCGTGTGCGCCAACACAAAAGTGGCGCGTGCTGCGCTTCAAGAAGGACAGACAGGAGGCCACAACAAAAGGGATAGACACTGTCAAAGCGCAACGGGGCAGACGAGACTTTCTAACCGCCCTCTGCGTCACGCGCCGCTGTTCCTGAGCATTAGCATCATCTCCGCCACCTGAGCATCAGACTCCACCTCGCCCTCGTCATCAGACGCGCCCCGCACGGCAGCAGCTGGCTTGCCCCTGTCCTGCTTGACCCCTGGCCCCATCGCCGCGAGCCGCGCGGCCTGCTGCAGCTGCAGCATCAGCACCCGCTCCTGCTCCTGCGCCGCGGCCTGCTGCCGCGCCCGCTGCTCCTGGAACAGCTGCTGCTGCGCCAGGTGCTGCGCGGCCAGCGCCTGCAGGGCGGCCACCTCCAGCCGCTGCTGCCGCGCCGCCTGCTGCTGTGCCTGGTGGAGTGCCTGCTGCTGCATTAGCTGGTGCTGCTGCAGCTGCTGCAGCTGCGCGTGCTGGGCTGCTGCCGGCGCCTGCTGTGTGTGCTGCGCCGCCTTGGCCTGCTGCGCCAGGGCCGCCACAAACGCCGCGATCAGGTCGGCCTGCGACACGTTGAGACCGACACCGCTAAACAGCGGCGCGATGGGTGCAGAGGGCGCCCCAGCACCCGCCTGGAACGCGCCGCCAGTGCTGGCTGCGCTGCCGCCATCGCTGCCGAGGCCGACGCCGAGGCCGGCGCCGGGGGGCGAGCCGCGGCGCAGCGAGAGCGGCGTGTTAGCGCCGCTGCTGGGGGCGGGGCTGCCCTGGGAGGGCCGCGGCGCGCCCTCGCTGGCGGGGAACGACAGGCGCAGCTCGGCGGCCGCAGCGTGCGCAATCGCGTGCGCGTGCGCGCCGGCGGCTGTCGGCTTGGGCCGCTTGGTGGGTGAAGGGATGGCAGGCAGGAAGGGCACGCCGGCCAGCGGCGACAGCGGGGGCGGGGCGTGCACGCCAGAGCTAGCGGCAGCGCCGAGGGGCGCCTTGGCCATTGGGCTGCCGGTGTGCTGCGGGTTCCACTCGGCCTCGCTGTCGCCCTCATCCGGCGCGCCGCCGCTGCCGCCACCGCCCGTTGCCGAGACCCTCCGCTTGGTGGCCGGCACGCGGAAGGCCGGGATGCCGTGGCCAGCCGCAAAGGCGCTGAGCTCGGGCGCCGCGGCGTGACCAGCGGCCTCATCCTCCGCCTCATCGTCGTCCTGCTTGTTGTAACCGTCATCGCCGCCGCCATATTCGTAGTCACCCTCCTCGTAATCATCCTCGCCACCCGCCGTCGCGCCGTCATCAGGGCGCCGCCCGTCGCGCGCCGCCGTGGCCGCCCACCGTGGGGCCGCTGGTGCGGGGCACGGGCGCTGCGGGCCGCGCCGCTGCGGGGGCAGGTACTCCGGCTGTGGCGCCGTGGGCAGTGCGACGCCGACATCCACCATGTACGCGCGCAGCGCGAGGCCCACCCCGATCTCGTTGCGGTTGTTGCCGCGCGTGATGTCCTTGCGGCGGAGGGTGGCGTTCCAAAAGTTCTTGATGGCGTTCTCGGTGCGGCCGGGCATGAGCTTGGAGATCTCGGACCAGCGGTTGCCGTACCTTAGGTTGAGGGGCGGGTTTTGGGGTTTTAATTGATTTGGGTGGAGGGGTTCGACTAATGATGAGGTCAAGGTGGGGGATGATTGCAGTTTGGGCCCTCCACAAGGCAGAGTGAGTCTAGGCCCGCGCGCTCCCCACCTCCTGTGTGACTGCATCAGCAGCTGCTCCTCTGCCAGGGTCCAGGGGGTCTTGTTGATATCGGGGCGCAGGTGGTGGTTCCAGCGCTGAAGGGGGGATTGTTTGTGCGTGCGTGCGTGCGTGTGTGTGTGTGTGTGTGTGTGTGTGTGTGTGTGAGTGTGTGTGTGTGTGTAGGGTGATGGTGGGCCGGCCGAGGGGCGTAATGATGGTCGCAAGAGTCGGCGCAGCACAGCGCGGTTGGCAAACGGCGGCTGGCAGCTTTTGCGGCGCGGGTGGGTGCTCGTTTGGCCGAGGCATGCGCCTAAGTTGGCAGCGCCCTGCCTCCAGACAGCCGGCTGGCGGCCGGCCCCGCAATCATCATGCAACAGGATTTGTCACATTGGGGCAAAGTCAAGCGGGGTCAAACCACGCGGCGCAGCGTACGCGTGGCCCAGTGGCGCGCACCTCGCGGCACTGCTTGCCCACGCGCCCGAGTTCCTCGTGGCCGCAGACCATGCGGTTGAGGTCACGCGCGATCTCGCTCCAGTTGCCCTCTCCCTTATGGGTCACGAGGCTGCGGGGCGGCGGTCGGGGTTGGGGGGCGATGATGCGTGATCGAGGCGCCTTCTGATGGACCGACCAGGATGGTAGCCAGGGTGGTGGGTGGGGAAGACGGGAATGCGCCACGCAGGCAAGTGGAGGCAGTGCCTCGGTGCTTCGCATCAAATGACCTAATCTTGGGGTGGGAACCACACAATAATCCCATGCTCAAGTTGCCTGCCATCCATACTCTGCAACCGCCCCACACGCCGTGCCGCATCTCTATATGCCATGGCCCCCTCGGGATGCCCCCGCATCCAGGAGGCGCGCGAGCAACCAACCAGCCCCACGCCGGCACGCGTCCGCTCACGTCGTGAGCGCCTCGTCCTCCTCGTGGCGCCAGCCGCCCTTGAGCATGGGCGGTTGCTCGCGCCTGCCGCCGCCTGCGTACGACATGGCTGCCAGGGGCCTGTGGGGTGGGTGGGTGGCAGCTGAGGGTAAGGCGCGCAGCTGATAGGTCGGCAGCAGGTGGGGTGGAGGGGTGGAACCGCCACTGCTGCCGTGGTGAGCACAATACGCCAGCACTGTGCTGATGACGAGCAGCAGGCTGACAGGCTTGCAAGTGAGTCGATGCGATGCACCAGCAGCGCACACTACCCGCCAAAACCTGCCGCGCCACCGCAGCTGCATACCAGATGCCACAGGCCAACTCGGGCTACGTAAAAATACGCATAACTCACCTCGCTTACTCTGAACGCCAGTCAAAGGGTTCTAAGGATGCAGGCGTGCGAAGGAGCAGCACACCGGCTACGCGCACACGCTACCTGTGCCTGTACAGGATTATATACACAAGAAAGGAATAAACAACAAAGAACTTAATGTACATAGCTACTCTGGTGGAGCGTCAGGGTGCAGTTGGCTTTGTGCATGCGCGCCTTGACCACCTGCCTGGATGCCGCTGAACGTGCGGTGCCACAGTTTCGCACAGGCGCAACAGGGACCATCAGGCCGGCCCGAGACTGAGTGGCAGCTCAAGAGTTTGTTACTGGTATGCGAATGCCCACTATATCTGCGAAAGTGCCAGTGGTGCATGCCCACCAGCAGGCACGCGGTTGGGGGGGTGGGTATGCCCGGCGGTTGCACCACCCCTGAAATACTGACTATCTGCACGCCCAGAGAGGTCGACCATGACTGTCAAGCGCAACTGCTCGAGGCCAGTCGCTCAGATGCAAGCTGGGCGGCGGCGTCGAACGCGCCATCGTACGCACACATGGCACGGTTGACCTTGCCACAGCATGGGCGCAGCAACGCTTCTCACGGCCCTTCTGGGTATGAAGGGTCTACAGGAAGAAAAGTCAAGAGGAAGATGCCCCGCGGCGCAGCCAATCAGGGAGCTACTGATCGCGGCAATGAGGTACAGGGCGCCTGCGCAGCCGCTCGGCACGCCGCCGCGCCCAGCAAAGTGCGGGGGCCCACGAGCAAGGCCAGCGCCAGAGCGCCACCAGCGCGCGACCCTCTAGTCAAGCTCCGGCTGCCCCTCGTCGCTGGATTCGCTGCCGCTGCCGCCGCCCGCCCCGACGCCGTCGGCTTTGTCCCCGTCCTGGTGCTTCACCAGTTTTGCAGCCTTCTTCTTGTCCTGCACAAACGCCCGCACGCGGGATAGGGCATGCCTCTTGATGCACGGCGCGCGATTCACCGTGCACGCGCGTCAGCTCTCGCAGCGCATGTATGGGCGGCTGTGCTTGCGAATGGACTTGATATGCGACATGATGATGCATGGGCCGTAGATGGCCAAGCAGGCCCGTGGTGGCTGCGGTCCCCCACCTACCTTCTTCTTTTGCCGCTTGCTCCGGTTCTTGGCCGTCTTTGCCTCAGCCGCCTCTTGCCGCTGCTTCAGCTTCCCCTGCGGCAGCATGGCGGAGAGTTGACCAGCTGGCATTCAGCGCGGGCCGCACGAGCGGGGACGCAGGCCTGCTTCGCACCCACAAAGCCGGCAGCCCCTGGGCGACCCTGAGCAGGCACCTGGGCACCGCAGCGGCCCCCGCCTTGAGCCACTACGCATTGCGCCGCTACATGACCCACAGTTGCAGCGTGCCTGTCGCATGTGCCCAGACCGGCCAGCCGCCGCACCTCAAACTCCTGCGTCTGCGTTTTCAACTTATCTTCCGCCTCCATGCGCCGCAGGCGATCCTGCTCAGCCCGCCGAATCTGCACGGGGCATCGGAGTTTAAGCAGTGTAAGGGCGAAGAAGCGTGCGCTGGAGCCGCTCGAAACCGACCCTGTTGCTGCCGCGGATCCTGTCGCCGCTGCTGTTGTCCTGAGGCCGCCACCCTCGCCCATGCTGCCGCCGCTGCAGCTGCTGCTGCAGCCGCTGCCCCCGCCGCTGTAGCCGCTGCTCCCGCCGCTCCTGCTGCAGCCGCTGTCGCGGCCGTCGCTGCCGCCGTCGCTTTGATACGGCTCCTGCTGCCGTATCATAGTATCACTCTACATACCGCAAGCACGCAACCCACACATACCCATTCAACACACACAGACGTGCAGCAACCGCCCCATAGAACAAACACACACACACACACACACACACACACACACACACACACACACATGCAGCGACTTCCCCACTCCACCATCAACCCCCTCACGCACCTGCCGGTAGTAATGGAAGTCGCCGCTGCCTGCGCCTGCGCAGCTGCCAGACACATTATAAATGCGAGTAGGAACCTCCTCCTGGATTTTATTGAGCTTTTCTTCCAGCTCAGTGGCCTGCAGGGTCCAGCATCGGCCAGTGGCGTGGGCGGGAGCGGCAGCGGCGGCGGGAGCGTAAGCGCGTTGCAGCACGCGCACATACGTCTGCACAGTGGCAGTACTCCCCTTGCCAGGCCCACTGCGTCTACTGGGGCTTCCTTGATAAATTGTTGCATGGGCAACTCCATGAAGCAGGTGAGCACACGCACCTCCTTCAGGCGCTTCTCGTAGTCTGCCAGCTGCTGCGACCGGTCCGGCACCATCAGCACGCCGCTTGTGCTGGTGATGGGCACGAGCTCCCCCATGGCTGCTAATGTCTGCTTGTGCGCACTGACGTCTTTTGAAGTATTAACTTTTGCGTGGACGGCTTTGAGTGGAGCTCGTGAGGCTTTCGTTTTTTGATGCAATGAAAAAAGGTTTCGAGTATGAAAGATGCTAAATTGTCTGGACAAAACCACGTCTCTACTTAAGTAAACTGTTCCTGCGTGCAGACGCCATATGTCGATCTGAAGATCATCCTGAGCAGGGCCAGCCGCAAAGAGCGAACGCTGAAGCAAGAGGGCGCTATTCGTAGCTGATGCGTGCATCCAGGTTCCTGCTCTCCCATCTGGCCAGGGCAGGTAGGCATGCGCAGCGTGCGCACGCTCTTGCTGTGTCGCCGTCACCAAGTCGCCCTTCAACCCTCGCCGGCCCCTGCCTTGCCCTCCCATTTGGCTTGCCAGGCAGCACAGCAGCAGCAGAACCAGCAGCATGCAGTAGCAGCCGCCCATGGGGGCGATGGACGTCCCAGTGCAGCAGCAGGGCGCAGGAGCAACACTGTAATCAGCAGTGGCAGCAGCAGCCGGCATCAGGGCGATGTTCATTCCACTGCAGCAGCTCCCCTCTGGAATCCAAAGGTTCCCCTGCAAACCAATCAGCATCAGCATCATCTGCAGTCCCTGCAGATCCGGCGCCAGCGGCAGCGACACCCGCCGGCAAGCAGAAAAAGGGCAGCAAAGGCGATGGCGGCGGGGGCGCTGGTGCACAGCAGCAGGACGCGGCGGCGGCCGCAGCGCAGCTTGAGCAGCTCAAATCGGAGTACCGGCGCAGCAGAATGTTGGAGTTCTACCAACAGGTGCGCGTCCCCCCGCCGTTGGGTGCCCGCCTTCAGTTGTTTTAGCGCCTCCGCAGCAGCGAGCGCAGCGGTCGCTGCGGCGGTCAATGAGGCGGCCCGTCGAACCCGTGGCAGCACGAGAGCCCTCCTTGATGCCACGTGACGTAATCGGACAATCGAACATCCCGCAGATTCTGAGCCGCGAGCTGCTGCTCAAGCTCAATGTGAAGAGCATCAACGAGCTGCCGCGACTACGACGACTCAACCTGGCTATACAGGCAAAGGACGTTGCCGGCGGGCCATTTGTGAGCGCTACGGGGCCAGCACGATTCCAGGGGGGACAGGCGGCTGTGTTCAGCCCTCACGCGTGACCGCGGGGCCTCAGCGCTGAGATGCTGGCTGGGGTGCGCTCAGCCATCACTCGGGGCGTTGCTGCGCCCCGTTCCCAGTTGCTCCATCGGCACCGCTGCCGGCCCCTTGCTCCCAATTCACACACATGCACACACACACACACACACATGCGCACACACACACACAAACACACACACACACACACATGCGCGCACACACACTCAACCACAAATATAAAAACGCACACACAACACTTTCGCACAAAAAGGTCGAGAAGTGGCAGCTCCTGCTGCACGCGCTGGGCCTCGAGATCGTGAGCGGCCGCCCGGCCACCTTCTCCCAGCCCGTCAGCCGCCACTACCGCCAGCGCGGCGCCGTCACCGGCGTCCACGTCACCCTGAGCGACGCCGCCGCGCACGACGCGCTCGAGAAGATAGTCTACCTCCTGCTGCCCTCCCAGAGCGCGTTTGAGGGGCTGCTCGTCCGCCAGCTGGACAAGGCCGGCCACATCCACTTCAAAATCAGCTCAATGTCCAACCTCCCAGATTTCGCGGAGATGTATGAGACGTTCGAGAACCTGGGCAGCCTGGACGTGAATCTGGTGCTGAGCGGCGTCGCGAAGCGGCCCGGGCGCAGCCGCGTGCTGCTGACCGGGCTGCAGCTGCCGGTGCTCGCGCGGCGGCACCAGGTCGGCGCCGCGGACGGCGCGGGGGGCGGCGGCGGCGGGTTGGAGGTGGAGGGCGGCGAGGAGGTGTGAGGGGCTGGTCAGCAGATAGGCCCGGTGGCTGCGGCGCGGATGCTGGCGTCTCGTAGGAGCGCCGCCGCGGTGGTGCAGGGGCTGCTCCTGGCCGGGCGGGGCTGCGCACCCTCCTTCCGAGCACCGCGCTTGGGCCCTTGCCCACCGCAGTGTAATCGGAGCCGACCAAGGGACAGTGCTTTACTGATATGTATCAAGTGGATTGTGAGTATCCTGTGGTCCGCACAATCTCGTGTCGGCCACCAGGCTCTGCCCCCTTGTTGCTGCCGGTGCACACAATACGGATCCTGCTGCCATCTCCTGCAGCGCCCACCGCCCTTGTCGCGGTTCGGCGGCGCAGCGGCACGCATGCAATTGGAGCGCTGAGGGAGGCCAATGCAGGTCGGCTGCCTGCGTTATTCATGCTATGTCGTCTTGAGGTTGGGGTGGGGGGCTCATCGCAGTGACTGAAGGTTCATGAACAGCGCCACACGCCCAATACAATGCCCCTGCAGCACACCAACCAACAGTGAACGAACAAAATATCCCTTTGCAGATGCACTTGCATCTATCCTGGAAGAGCCACCCTCCGCAGCTCGTGCGAAGCAGCCAGCAGCCAGCTAGGGGGCGGTTGGTTCATTGGTGCCACGTCGCTGGCAGGTGGAGGCGACCGGGCAGCGGACAGGCGGCAAGCTGAGTTCATACAACAAAACAAGTGTCATGCACATGACATGTATAGCCTACTTTATGCATATTTCAACCCGCTCTTGTACAGTTTGGGAGACCCGTTTCGTTCAAAACGCACTGTGCGCCCCCAACTGCGACCCATAAAGTCCTTATCATCCAATTCTACCATATAATACCTCATTAGATGGTGGTGAACGGGCAGCAAGGCCTGACATAGCCGGTGTGCTGCTCCCTCGGCGTGGTGGATTGCCTCCCGGGCCTTTCCTCAAACTGCAAAGGTGTGCAGAAAGCAATAAGAGCCTCAATCGACACAACTTGCAGCGCGAACACTGCCAGCACATCGTGTGTCAGGTACTGCGACAGCGCTGTGAGCGCCTCGCATCGCCGCACATGAGCGCTAGAATGGCCGGTACGCCCGCCTTGCTGGCAGACTTCACGTGTTATGTATGCTTGCAGGCTGCAGTCACGTGGTAGGGCGATGATATCGTTACCCATCATGTTGTGCTTCAGCCGCACCCTCACGGCAGACCCGTGCGCCTGCCGCCCTCCCCCCCCCCTCCTCGTCACTCGATAAACCCCCGACCAGGCCCATGGCAGCCACGTCACACGCAGGCGGCAGCAGGCGCAAGCAGCAAACGATGCTGAAGGGCGGCTGGCGCCACGAGGAGGATGAGGCGCTAACAACGTGAGCGGGCAGGCGCCAGGGTGTGGGCAGGGAGTGGAGCAGCCTGTTGCATGTCCCGGGAGCGACCCCTGCAGGCCCCTCAAGGAAAGGCAAAGGCAGGGATTCGGTGCAGCATGAGGGAGTTTGATATCCTGTAGGGCCCAAGGGTCATCATATTTTTTGCCGGTGAACGTAGCCCATGCCGCCGTCGTTGCACACCACAGTCTGTAGACCTGTGGCATCCTGTGTCCGCCCGCCCGTCGATGCAAATTGCTCTCCTC